TAGTTTTTTTTGATGCCTCACCCTCTCGAATTAATTGATTGATTAATAAATTACTTAACCAATTAATCAATCAATCATATATATAGAGATATATATATATATAGAAAGAAATATATAAATATATAAATATAGAAATATATAAATAGAAAGTATAGATGTATATATATATATGTATGTATGTATGTATGTATGTATATATATATTTATATGTATACGCACATACTTAAGAAGCAACAAACACAATTTTGGCTAAATTTACAGGCTTGTAGAAAGGAGCAGCCCAGGTACTGGATTTATCATGTGTGCCTTGGCCTTGCTGACCTGGTTTGCAACAATGATTGCCGAGTATGGAAAGCTCTTCCACTTTGCCTTGGGCCTCTCTGAGGTTTGGGTTTCAGAAACTGAGGGTACCCAATTTAATTTGAGGGCCGTTGTGATAAGGATTCGACTATTTGGGGTTCGATATCCTTTGCTGAAGCTCCGAGGTGCCAAGAGGGCACACCGTCTTCCATCTGGAAGAGGATCAGATTGCGCTTGTCAAGCTGTCTAGGAAGCGGCTAAGCTTCATCCTCACAACGGTCCTGGCACGGGCAACTGTCCAGTCAGTCTTGCTCTGGTATGGAACACTCTATCTGGTCTACACCGAAACGGTGCAAGACCTGCTCCTCAACGCGGTGGCTCTAAAGTTCGTGCTGGAGGTTGCCGAGCTGCTCTACTCAGCTTTTGCGCCGAGGCGTACGCGCACCTTCATCCAGAGCTTGAAACCTCTTAACTTGGAGCGTCTTGGGGCCAGCCATCACGACTGCCTCCTTCCAACATTTTTATTGGCGGTTCTGTGTGTCATGCTGGCCCTGTCCTATGTCTTTTTGCTGACCCCTGCTCTTGAAGCCCGCTCCAAGACCTGGGAAGGCTTGTGTGGCGGCCGTCAGGATTTTGCTGTGGCCACAGATGGTCTCGGGCGGCTTCACTACAGTCTGACCAGCGAGTACGACGACACGGGCGAGACAGAGCTGACCTCCTACGTGCACCGAGCTACTGATCTCCTTATCAAGGATGCGCCTCCGGACGAGGAGCAACCTTGGAGCATTTATGTGTCGACCTTCGACAGCTTACGGAAGAAGGTGGACTCCCAAAGCGTGGTAGAAGCAGGTGGCACTCGTCTCTGTGAGGATGGGGACAATCAGGAGGGTATCGATGAGTGGACCCACATGGGGCTCCAAATTCTGAAGATGGTGACTCACAATGACTCCTTGACAGACTGTGCTTCTGTCGTGCCCTACTGCACCCAGGTGGGCATTGCTGGCTTGCGGAGTCGGCAGTGGTGTCCCCTGAGCTGCGGCTGTGCAGACCCGCTTGGCGGTTTGCTGCTCGACAGGGTGACGAATGGCTGTCCGGCCGCCTGCTCCCAGAAATTGGCCTCTCTCGCAGAGGGCATCCAGTGCAAGGATGGTGAACTGAACGAAACGACGCAGTATGCACTCGGCGCAAAGGCACTCTTTACTCAGAAGGGCTTCCAGTCCAAATCCCTGGAGCTCCTGGCAGACCGCATGCTGGACCAGGGATGCTTTGCCGTTGCTTTTGGAGGCAGGGCAGGCATGGACTTTTGCATTGGCAGCAGCACACTGAGGGTTAACACAGTGAACTTCCGCACCGTGAAGATGGTGTGTCCTGTGGCTTGTGGCTGCGATGGCAGCGGTCTGCCGGGCCACAAGCGAGATATGGCCACAGTGGGAGCCGTCGGAACCGGACTTCGGATAACAGGAGACGCAGCTGCAGACCATTCGGATTAACCCCTGAAAAGCCTCGAATTTCGGATTCCACCGTATATTGTTCTGTTTTGCCGGAGTGCACTGCTTGTCGAGAAGCAAGGAGTCTGCGAAGAGCAAGGCCGGAGATCTGTCGCATGTTCCGATTGCCTGCCGATTGAATCCCACACTGCTCTCGAAGAGGCTGGCTGAACGAGACTCGTTTTGCCCCACATGGTGCTGCGGGCAGTGGAGCACCTGTCTTTCTGAATGAGGAAGGCACCATGTCTTGCACTAGATTCTGAAAGCTCCACGGAAAGCCAAGTTTGGGGTTACGGTTAGAGAGTAAGTAGGGTTCAGGGTTGCCGTTGTGATGATGGCGGCTGAGGTCAGATGTATTTGTATCATGGGCCGCAGTGTGCAGCAGGAACCATTGGATCGCGTTGGATCTTGTCCCTTGGCAAAGTCGGTCAGAAGTAGGAAACCCCCCAATTAGGGTACTGTACTGACAGCTCCAATTTCTAGCTGCCCACGAAGGAAGTCCCCTGACCCTCAAGCCAGGGATAGGGATCAACAAACAAATAAATTAGGATCAACAAATTTAAGCTAGGGTCAAAAAGACATTAAACTAGCAGGAGGATAGAAAGCAAGGAAGAGAGGAAGGAGGAAGGAAGGAAGGAAGGCAGGGAGAGAGGGAGGGAGGAAGGAAGCAAGAAAGGAAGGAGGAAAGGAAGGAGGGACAGAGAGCAGGAAAGAACGAGGGAAGGAAGAAAGGAGGGAAAGGAAGGAACGAGGAAGGAAGAAAGGACGCAAGGAAGGAAGGAAGGAAGAAGGGAAAAAGGAAGGCAGGCAAAAGCCAAAAAGACAGGAAGGAAGCAATGACGGAAGGTAGGAAGGCAGGCAGGAAGGAAGGAAGGTGTACTGTACATGCAAGCATACATACATGCATACAGACGCACATGAATACATGCATAGATCATGTACAGAAATACTAGTTGTTACCAGTGATAAGGGTTTAGGGTTTACGCCCATCAGTTCCCTGATAGCCCCAAAACCTTAAAACCCTAAACCCAAGACTCTAAACCCCTAAACCCCTTAGGCCCTAAACCCTAAACCCCTAAACCCCTTAAGCCCTGAACCCTAAACCCTAAACCCTAAACTCTAAACCCCTAAACACCAAAACCCCTAAAACCCAAAACC